AAATAAGATTCATGCACACTATTATTGCGAAGGAGAACAAAGTACTTTTCACAACGCAACACGTAGCAATGTGAATAAAACGTGTGCCAATAATTTCTGTACTTTTTATTTTATGAGCAATGCCAATAATTTTCTACCTTGAAAAACGTTCTTTGTCATTATTATTGTTATTGTTTTATTCCCCCTCCGCTTACAAGCTTTTACTTTTTGCTGTCTCTCGGACTGTTTTGCTTTTTCACTTTCATGTTTTACCCTTTGAAATACATATAGAGATATTGATCGAGCGAGATTTTTTGTGATGATCATAGGCATACGCTAATGCTAATGATGTTAGGTCTTTGATTCTACAAACTGTTGGAGATATGTATGATGTCGGTCAAGTGCCCTAAGACTAAGGGTTTGTGTCCTCGAAAAGTGCTTCAGCAGGTCATAATGATCTTAAGATTATGAACCATAAACTTTCTTTTATATCCCCTCTTCGATATTTCTGTTGATTCTTGTCAACACAAATTATAGATATTCACGAGGGTTGAAAACGTAGGAATAGTTTTCAAATGTTTGGATTCGTTGATTATTATGATGCATAAATAAACTTTCGAATATGATTTAATAATGCAATGCTTAATTGTTAAGATGTAAATATTGTTCTTTTATTAGGTAAATAGGTAAGTAAAGAGAGAAAGAAGAGGAGGGTCCGGAAAAAGGCAAGGGCATTTCTTGTTAGTGGATGGAGTTGCTCATAATTCTAAGCATTATAGTAAACAAAAACAAAGCATATGTGACAATCAGAGAATATGTGTGTGTGCGCGCGCGTGTGTGTTTCACTCCAAAAAGATAGCGTTTTATCTGAAACAAAGAATAAGAACAAATTGTGTACAATCTTTTTTTTTTTTTTATTTAAGGAAAAGCAGTAGAGAAAAAGCTAATGCATTTTCCTGAAAAGTTTTATATTTTGTTTCCTTTGAATGGCTTTTTGGTTGGAATCCAACTGATAACGTTCAGTTAAGCAGCGGATAACATTCAAGCAAATGGTCAGTGAGACCAATATTCTCTGTAAAAGGTGAAATGAAATGAGATAGAGAGAGAGAGAGAGAGAGATCCACTAACATGAGAAATGACCTATCAAAGCATACAGAATCTAATTGATCAACTTCATCATCTTCTAGCTGGACTCAGCTTTCTAGAACTTAGCGTCGAGTAATAGGCACTGATCATAAAAACAAAGTCCCCTCTAAAGCTTTTTGAAGCCATCATTACCATTGGAATATTTTTGTTAAACAGAAGGCTTAGGTATAATCATGCCTTGTCAGGCTCCTGAAAGCATATATTACCAAATTGATAGAAAGTGTCATCACACACTGTATGAACACAGAAAACCTTATTAGGCATCCTTCCCAATTAGGAAAATTGAGATTATTATTAAACCAAGGATCTTAAGGAAACCATGATTGGTTATTATAATTTCTCAAAGTAGGGTTTTTTCTCCCTCTCCTTTTTATATTTCTTTTTCTGGGGTGGGAATAAAACACAACCAACCAAATGGGTGAAATTGGTTGAGGCCACAAATCACATGGCAGAACCCATGGAATGAGTTTGTCGGCTACTTTTCAAAGCCAGGATTGGAAGCCTACTGATAATAACACTATGAACTTAGGCACACACATTTTGATTATGGTCTGCCATATAGCAGAGGATAAACATTAATCCAAAAGGTTGAAAGCTAGCCAACATTGACAAGATAGATCATAGACCTGAAAAAGAGAGGAACATCCTCCTTGTTAAAGTGTTTTACTGTGAAGATGAATTTTTAGGCTGAAGAGATTATGGGTGTGTTTGGATAGAAACCAAACCATGGTTTCAGAAGTGCTTTTACGGATTACGAAGTAAATATGTGGAGGAGATTATCTCGTTTTGCGAAAAAGTGCTTCTGAAACCACGGTTTTGGGATACCCAAACAGGTCTTATATCAACAACATATGCTAGTTACTATATACTTCAATATATATATGTGGGTAGTTCTTCTTTTATTAGCTTTATACTCATATAAACATAAATAAAAATATATACTGATTGTTTTTTTAGTTAAACTTTGTGAAGAAAAATGTGTGTTTGACGCTATGCATTAACATAAAACTAATCATATTCTTGTTTATTTATGTATTGACATTACTAGATGTCCGCTCCACAAGAAATTTGAGGCTGAAAGTCTCACTGTTCATGACTCAGCTTTATATAGTTTATATATGTATTAATTTAATTCTAGCTAAAACTAGAATTTCTTTTATGACTGAGCATTAGGTTCCATAGTAGTGTAATAAAGTGGTAAGAGTAATTAACGGCATATATTATAAGGTATAGGGATGAGAGTAATTGATGGGGTTTGTGGATTTCTGATCCTAAAGCTTATTTAGATTCCTAATAATGGTTATATTTGGTTCTGAAATGAATGCAAGATAGAAAAGAAGGAAAGCAAATGAAAAGTGGGTTCAAAGTTTGAAGAGGGGGGGATGAGTTCATGTCAAATCCTCCAAAATGGCCTAGTAAAACTAAAAAACCTTTCAGCCCATCGTTTCATGTCGCCTCACAGGGTACCTGGTGGGACCTTCAAACGCGAATGCCCGCTTGACCTCAAGTACGCCACAAACACTGTGTCTCTCTTTTAGATGATGATTGCTGCCACATGAAGCAGTAGGACTAGTAGGGGCACACTTTGCTCTCACTCTCGCACTCTCTCATCTTTATTTTATTTTTCCTTTCTTTGTTTATTCTTTTTCTCTGTAACATGGCAGATATCAAGCTAAATTCTCTCTTGAATCATCTTTTAAAAGTACATTCCTTCATATCAGTTAAAGCTAAGATGGGATATCACAGAAATTGGACAAGTATAAGACTAGGATGAGATATTCTATTCTCTGAGAGCTAGCTGGCATTTCTTCAATTTTTGTGTGCGAGAGGAAGCAAGAAAGAGAGAATTTTTGTGGGACAAAGAGATAAATATTGGGATAATAAAGGGGGGGGGTTAAGAGTTAAGACCAAGGAAGGTGGGGAGCATATTGATGTAGAGGTTGAAAATAAAATAATGTTTGTAGGCTACTAGGCTGCATAACTTTGTTTCCTCCTTGCTTTGAATCGGGATAGGGAGGGATTACCATATTTTCCAATATAAACAGTTCTAAGAGAGGCTTGTGTGGACCATTGGTGTTTGCCTTTGCTTCAGATGCTGCATTGTCTAGATAGTGCTCTCTATAGTGCACAAATATTTAAAAAAATGTTTTCTTTCTTCCCTTTTCATTTCTCCCAATGGTTTATATTTTGACCCATATCAGGTATAGTGTTGAAAATTAGGCAGATTGAAGAGGTTGTCCCAAAAAAATAATATTCTTAAGTAGACTTGTTCAAGCTAAATCAATTATAGAGCGATATCCTATACATCTATTCATTTTGAGTAAACTCGACGTGTTTCTTTCTCCCATCATATTGTTTATGAATGATAAATAATATAACTTGCTACAAATTTTATATTATATACTGATATTGATTAGGTATACATGGAAGATATTTTGGTTGGCGCCTAAAGCAAATGCATCTAGAAAGAGTGGTGTGTCATGTCTGCTACAATTGACCCCTTGAAAAAAAAAATAGAAGTAAAGAAATGCATAATTATGTCTTTGTGAAGAACTAGCTAGTTTGGCCCCCCCCCTTTTCAATCTCTCTTGTTTGAGGGAAGAAGTGGATGAACATTAGGAACAAATGAGTTTGCCCCACAGGCTATCTTCTTAAATGAAATCACATTTTGGTGTTCCTTGGTAGGTATTGGTTATAAGTGCCTAGACACGCTGTTTTGACTGTGAGCTAGCAGCACCATTCCTCTTGTTTGTTATTATTTCTCCATATATATGCAGGTATACTAGTTGGGACAGGGGAAGGAGAAAGAGGAGCCCTTGTCCTAATTTAGAGTGTGAAGGACATAGAACTACGTGTCATAATTTCCAGTTTCTTAGCCTTGCCAAGTTTCTGACTTGGACACCATGTTTCTTTGAACTTGAAAACAGAATTTTTCAGTGAAATGAATTAAAAAGGGATTCCTAATGGACATAATGGATATTGTCTTCACTGGTAGGTCATGCAGACTAACAATCCTAGCTATTCATGTGATAGGGCTATTCCATAACCACGAAATGTGTCACACATGGAATGACCGGATCATAATGAATGGCTAAGATTTGCACCCTGTTCATGACTTGTAGGGAGAGATTTAACTGAGATTCTAAGCACTATAATTGCTAGCGATTGATTATTGATTCATTGGCAAACAAATGTTAACCTTCGATGCTGTTAAATGTTGTGGGAACCTTGCAACTTGCAAGCCAATAATTGCTTGAGACACAGCTGAAATCAGCTAGTCATTTTCTTCAAACAAAAACTGTTTTTTATGATGGCATCCTTTGACTAAAACAATCTTTTTCAGAAAGCGAACGCTTAGTAGAATCTTGGTAGCCATGAACCTTATTTGTGTCGCTGCCTTTTTGTTTCAAAGTGGGGGTGGAGCCAGAGTGACTCATCAGCCAATTTAGATGGTGATGGGAAACAGAGACATATCCGCAGATTTACACAGTGAAATACCAATCCCTCAGTTATCAGAAACAGTTCTTCCATTGGAAAAATAAAGGGATATCAGGAATCAGAATGATTAAGGGCACCTTACAAGGCCAAGCAGAGTTCCAAAAGTGTACTAAATACGTAACATCCTCAATAAGGTAGTGTTACAAGATATATGCACGCTTGACAGATATTAAATCACATGTATCTGGGACAAATCTAACTATCCAAACCTAATATTTAAGAAAATAGAAAAAGCTAGAGTCTCAGAAAAGAGGCTTTCTCCTCCCCATCTTCTTTTGTGTCCCGCAAGTCATTTATCTTGTGATTAAATGCAGAGACTTGTTTCACGTTCATCTTCAGCCACCCAAAGGCCAGAGACCGCCAAGAAACAAGGGCTGATAGTTTGCAGCTCTATTCAAATATTGAAATGCTTCCATCCCAGGAGCATGAAGCAATAGCGTTAGGTATAACAGGATGGAAAACGACATCTATGCATGCTTGGTCAGAGGTCTTGATTTTCTTTACAACGTTAGATGACTGATAATCGTAAAGATAAATAAAACCATCTGAAGAACCAGAAGCAAGCCTCTTCCCATCCAAACTGAAATTGCACTTTATGGGGAACCCGGAGACCCCGTGGCTTTCATACCTCTTGTACTTGTTTAGCCTGAAAGGGGGGTTTGTTGCAAAAATTGCAATGTAATTCCCATTTGACTGGGCAACAAAAGTAGACTCAAATGGATGGCGCCTCACACATGGACAGGTATAAGCTTCAACATAAACCTGATTCAGAAGCACAGTAAGCTTATCTAAATTCAGAATTTACAAAGACATAAAACAGTCACAAGACTCAAAGCAATATTTGCAAGTACATAAGGTCGAAATAGTACTGAATACATCATTCAATAATAATTTGACATGCCACTACAATTTCCATCTAAACTTCACTTCTGGATTTTCATGTAGTTCTTCTGGTTGTGTTCTGTTGTGGGGTGGTTCATGCTAATATCAAACACTAGCAATGCTGCTCACATAGAGAGTGAAAAATGAAAACATAATACTGAGATTTGAAGAATGTAGAGGAATCTCACCTGATTAGATAACGGAACCTGTCTGGACACATCCCAAACAGTAATGGAGTTCTCACTGACATTACTCCCAGATACATCACTGGAAGAAATGAACTGCTTCCCATTGATTGTAAACTCAACATCCAAAATTGGACCTAAGTTGCGATTAAAGCTATGGACTACTTTACCAGTCCTGATATCCCACAATCTAATATGGCCCTTTGAACCGCCAGAAAGAAAGAGGTTTGAGTTTTCTGGATGAAACTTTACAACTCCGACAATTTGATCTTCACTGAACACCTGAGTCTCTAACCCCTTTTCGACATCAATCAGCCTTGATTTGCAATCATATCCACAAGAAAGCAGAGAGTGCCCTTGCTGAGACCATTTCACATCTTTCACTGCTGCGTTGTGGAAGTTTATTACACGTGCTTTCTTTTGATCTCTATTCCACACATTCCAAATGCAAACCAAATGGTCCATCCCGGCAGATGCAAGGAGATGAGCTGTAAGCTAACATTTTGAACAGGTCAATGCAAATGATACACAGAATGAGCATAAAGATCAATACTTCTTCAATAAGAAACATTTAAAAGATATTACTCTCTCTTAAAGAAGACTAACTCACATATCAAGAGAAAAGTTTGAAAGCATCAATGAGGAAGACTTACCATAAGGGGGAGACCATTGTATAGCATTGACAGCTTTTGTATGGCCAGACAGAGTCACAGATAGCCTTTCAGGTATCAGGTTAAGATTTTGACAACTTCTAGCTTTATTTCTCAACAATGATAAGATGCTAGGAGGTATATCGTTATCCAAGATGCTTCCTAAGATTATGAACAATAACATGTTATAAAATGAGCGGCTTTTGCCAATGAAGTTTAATTAACACAATGAAACCATGTACAAGAAACGGTCCATGAAAGGGACAAAAGTTATCGAGAAATTGAAAACTATGCAAATTCATCACTCGATCACAGAATACAATGCTGATGTGCAAATGCCACAAGCTTTCATCAAGCAGCTAGCCAGCTACTTATCGGCTAATTTATTTCCCTAACTAGCAGTGCATATCTTTAAACGGGAAAGTGGCATGAATTATTTCCAGAAGTTGTATTTTAGCAAAAAGCCATAATACAATCAAGCTCATGTATTTGCAATGCTAATGGACGTAGATTGTTGTATTATCAGATGCTGTTTTTTACATGAAAAAAAGAAGAAAAAGAAAATTCCATTTGAAGGAAAGAGGTAAAAAGGAGAGACATCCTCTCTAGCCAGGAAGAACGAAGTCAAAGAACTACCACAAAAGAGCTGGTGAGTCCCAATATATGTCTAACAAAGGGATTCCTAGTAAAACTCACAACCTGAACAAGAGAAAAGTGACAAAAAAACAACAAAATAATCCCCGAGCAAGCAAAGACATTTACTTTAAAAACCTGAACATGTAACAACTACCAAGAAAACCAGAGCATTCACAGCACTCTGCCATAAAACCTTGCCTTCCTTTCTACTGTGTGCAAACCTGGCATTCCCAAGCCCCCCGCAAAGCCTAACTAAATATAGATGGAAGGCTAGGAAATAGAAACATAATTGTGTAGCTGTTTCTGAAACAGAAAAGCACTTCACTGACATATTTAGAGTCTACAAAGCCACAACACTCAGTGCTACTATCCAAGTGAAGAATATGAACTTGAAGGGGTATTTTGTTCAATAGTGATATTTCAAAAAGGAAATTCTCCTTTTTCAGAAAATCAGTAAGAAACCAAAAGGGAAAAATTTGCCATCCACATGAGAACAACAAAGAAGAAGAAGGATTAAGCAATAGCATGTAACCCTCATAGTTAAGACTCCAAATCGTCAAATCCTATTGAAATGTTCCATCGACATAGAAAAGTAAATATCCCATGTTTATCCAAAAACACACACACACATCAAGCACCAACCCTGCTCTCACCAAGGGGTTTTGAAGTATCTGTTGTTTAATTTATTTGTAATATATTTCTTTAAAGAAGATGTTCCAAAAAAAAGAAAAAAAGAACTGGCAACTTTTACAGATTAACTAAGGCAAAAACACCAAAATGACGACGCAAGAAAATATAAAAATACCCGGTGTGCAACTTGAAAAGTTGCACCATATTAGGTGAAAAAAGATATGGAAACAGCTCCCATTTTCATGTTTACAGTGTACATCTAGACTGGTTGGTAGCTAAGGAAATGGACAAAATCATCGATAAGCTAAAATAAAAAAAGCTAAAGTATACATTTGATCTTTTAACTTTGTATAAGGTTTCAATTTGATCGTTTAACTTTAAAAAGTATACTTTTAGTCTTTTAACCCTAAAATTTTTTTAAAAAATGATGACATTAAGATCTTAAATGTTGATAAATATTCTCAAATGCCAACATATTGAGTTTAATTTTCGAAACATCCATGATTGTTACAAAAAATAATCATTAGAGCCTAATGATTTTAGGGTTAAAGGATCATATGTATGCTTTTTAAAGTTAAGGGACCAAATTGAAACCTTGTACAAAGTTAAAAGACTAAATGTATACTTTAGTCAATAAAAAATGCAGTTATGAATGATGAATCAATATAAAACAGAACTTTTTTGCCAACCAATATTAAGCAGAATCAAAATTCAAGATTTAGCAGATTCTGCATTCCCTGTTCCGGTCAATTGAATTCGTCACCGCGTACATACTAGTGAAAAGAGTTCATCCACATTGTTATCGGGTAGCGCAAAAAGAACGCAGGATGAATCAAAGAAGCAGTTCTAGACATATCGAGTTTATCTACTATCATCCCAATTATTTTCGAGATTAAGTTCAGCAAAATATCAAAAAACCCCAGAGTGAATAAAGGCGCGCGCATCATCTGCAACCTTATTAGTTACAAAAGCTCACACAATGCCAGCTCAATCGGAGCCAACAAAAATGATTAAGAAGAAAAGGATAATGTGACAGGGAAAAAAATTACCAGATAATGTTACAGAAGGCGAGACCAGAGGTGGGTCGGGAACAGTGGGATCAACGGCTAAAAGTGCCCTTTGTCGCTTGGAAATATATCTGCCAGGAAGCGAAGATTCCGTTTGGAGCTGCGAGCAGTGGTCGATAGGAGGAGGAAGATAGGGTTTTGGCGGGTTGGAGGAAGAAGGCGCAAGCTTCTGACGTTTCGGTTGATCTTGGTCATCATCAGACGCATTGCCATACGCGTCGCAGAGAAGATCCATGCCTGCTTCTCACTTCGATTCCTCCTCTGCGCAAATTTTTGCCGTTACATAACGCGCGCACGCACCCCCACACACACACACATTGCGAACGATTTTTGCCACTATAATTCTTTCTTTCTTTCTTTCTTTCTTTCATAAGGACATACTTAACATATCCAGCCCATTTGCTTTTGTTTTAATGGTTTATGGGCTTATTTTTTTTTGTTGTTTGAACTTAGGACTCCGCTTACCGTTCTTTTTAAAAGAAAAATTACTTGGGCTACTTTTAACTATTGGGCTGGTCCAGACTGGCCCATGTTTGTCTTATCCTATGAGTCCAAACTATTTGGGCTGATGTGAAGCTTTACTGATAGAAATTACAGGAATTTCTTAGACAATTTTGTGATGAAATTTTGTGGCAAATTATATATAAATTAATGAATATTTGATAAAGCATCATATATGATTCATTGTTAAAAATAAATTTTTACAGAAAAGTTACATGCATATAATGAGATTTAATATCATTATCTTTAATTTAATACAAATCGACCCCTCTTTTATTTTGTTAAAATACAAAAGGGTTAAAGTCTAAAAACAATAAGAAATCGTTTGCATTCGCAAAGCATAAATATGGAGAAAGAAAATATTTAAAAAGTGAAAAGAAAAAGGACAAAATGGAGCGTACAAGAGGTTGACTTGGGAAGTCCTCCGCATCATGTTAGTGGTCTGAGCAATGGCCAGCAGTGTGGCACTGAGAGGAGTAAGAAGTCCAGATTCACCGACAGCGGATTTTGCACCACATTCCATCATTCACGGCTTATCCTTCTAATTTCTTTTTCTACTAAAAATAAAAATTAGGTAAGTTGGAGTCACAGATATGCTCTAGGATTACCTGCCAACAAAACCCTCACATGAAAAATTTAAACTCATGATTTTATAGATTATAAGTAAATTTCTTATTAACTGAACTAATTTTTATTGGCTATCCTTATTAACTCAAGGTTGGGTCTTAGTGGCTACTTACTCCTTGGGCTTTTGCAAGTTGCTCCAAAGCTACATTCAACATAAACTCCCCTAAAATCGAAGGCCTCCAAAATCACTGGCTTAGTTATTTTTTTTGTTTCTTTTTATTTTAAATTAAACAGATAGGTGCTACCGGGTTGAGATTATAAGTAATACTCGTCGATTTTTAATATAAGATATATTTAACAAATTATATTAAATTAAAAAGCTAGATAAATTAGTTAATTATAATAAATATGACCTTTTTTTTTCCTAAAACACCATAATCATCTTTTTTAATATCCTCTCTCATTTTTCTACTTATTATGCTCGAGGGAGATCCATAAAGGTAATTTAGGAAAAAATTGATAAATATGAGAAATATGTCTTATATTTAAGATCAAAATCAACTCAATAATTAGGTCTTATAGTAAGAATGGAAGAGTATTAAACTCACAATCTCCTACTTATCATAAGTTTTCTTGTCATTAAGTCATAAGACTATTGGTAAGCGCACGTAGTTGCGTTTTCAACATAAGCTGATTCGACCAAAAAAAAAAAAAAAAAAAACAGAGAAGCACAGATATGCATGTTTGAGTTAATGAAGAAATAAGGACATATACATATACACCTTAACCTGTTTTTACTTGATATGCATAACTGACGTTCTCAAAAGAATTCAAGTTGAAATTGAACATGTATCAGTAATATTAAATTATTAATATAATAAATTTCACTGACTATAAGACACAAACAACACGATTTATTAAAATGTACTCCCTCCGTTCCTTATTATAAGAGACAAATAACCGAAGTACGTTGATCAAAAAATAGTTAAAATTAGTTAGAGCAATTAATGTGTAAAAAGTATAATTTTTTTTCAAAAATGCCCTCATTAATAAGGAGAGAGAACATGAGAGAGAACAATTAAATTATTAAAAGAAAAAGAAGTGGGAGGGAGAGAGAGTGTGAGTTGAAGATAATAAATATGGGTAAAATAGGAAATCAATACAAAAAAGTAGAGACAACTTGTAAGTGTCTCTTATATATAGAAACATGCTATAAGCATCAAATGTCTTTTATAATAAGGAACGGAGGGAGTATCATATAAGGGCTTAGGCTAGAATAGTAATAATGACAAATGAGGAAACGAGTGTGAAGAGGGGGGTCGGTACGTAGGTCCACAGTGTGGCCCTCTTCGCATTTCCATTCTTCGTCATCATTGCCTTATAACTTAAGGGCCCTATGGCCCTTCTTGCCCTTTCCTTTTGTCTTAATGCCTATTCATCCCTTAAATAGATAAATATTCCTTTTTTATTTATGATGTAAATGTGAGGTCATGCTGTGCCCTTGTTGCCAATGAAACTGACCCATGTGGCTCATTTTCATTCGGTGAAATCCAAGGTTCCTCATTTTTTTCAATTGTTCATAACATAATTAATCAATGATATGTTGAAATGATTATACTCTTCAATCCCTACTCATAAGAATTTCTCCCACCATCAACTTGAGTTTCTTGATTAAAAAAATCGCTTTTGCTCATAAATTTAGAAAAACAGTTTGTTGGAAAAAAAAAAAACAATTTTCTGTCAAATTCTAAATCCGAATAAGGGAGTTAGATTTATTCCAAGGAATTAGACATGTTTCTCCATACAATGAGTATGATTTTTAGTTGAAGCTACATCATATAACCAGTAAATGGTACTGTTTGATATGTGTGTGTATTGATAACTTGTAAAAATTTCTGTTTTACTTATTTGGTATCAAAATTTTAATAAAGCATTGTATGTTGACCAACGTTATTCCTATCTCAAACAACCAAAAAGAAGGGACCTTAATTATTGAAATAACATAGTTTAATTGAAAAATCTCATAGTAGATTGCTATTGTCTATGTTCTTAGAAGTAAATTCTTTGGATTACATATTAAAACCTATTTAATATTCTTTTAAAATATTATAAGCACCTCCCCCGGGGAAAAAACACCAATGAGCATATAGACAAAACATCACATTATTAACTCCACATCAACATCTTCTAAAAAAGAAAGAGATTTTTTTTTCAACACGGCAATTTAGCTGAGAAATCTTATAACAAAAGCCTACTTTAATAAAACATATTGATTTGATTTGAATATGATTAAATGCTGCCCAAAAACTTACAGGTTAATTTAATTAAACAAGCAGTTAGATCAGATGTGGGTTTTATCTTCAATTATTTGAATAAGTTGTGAACAGACAAGAATGGGAAATAATGATGAAACAACGTGACATACAGAAAAAACAATGTTCGATCTTGGGCATCGCGCAGACGCGCACAAGGTCTTGTTTAAATAATTAAAAGATATTCTTGTGTAAACACTTGAACATCACACAGCTGGAGACAAAGTTATAAATATTATCGAATAGTTTGTCAAAAGAGAAAGAAGGAAAGAAGAATATGAAGGCGCAGAGAGACAGAGAGAGAGAAGGACAAGCAAATGAGAGAGGAGGATTGAGATATAATAATATATGAGATGTGAGGGGGATTTCTATGAAATTAACAAGTGGGGGCCAAATTATGACGCCAAAGAATGTTTCATGAAGAGGGTCAAGATCCATTATTTGTCAACCCTACCGCACCACATTATCAACATTAACCAAATTACACACCTCATGTTTTTGGTGTATATGTACATTAAGACAACCCCCACTAACCAAGGTTTATTAGTCAAAATTTTTTAAAAGAAAATTACTGAAAAATCCCCAATCGAAAAATATATTCTTTGAACATGTGCAACACTTATCTTTATTGGGTATAACTTTTCTTTAGTTATGTGCAATTTATTTTTAGGTATGTGCAAATATTTTCTGTTTTGCACGAAAATAAAGATACGTTACTTCGTTCACTATTGAAGAAAAGTTACACTTGTTGAAAATAAGTTATACCTGAATTTTTAGACAAATTTTAGGTACTTTTTGTTAATTGAGTTTTTAACGGGGAATTTTCAGCAATTTTTCATTCTTTTTAATGTCTACATATATGTTCACATTGTCCAAAGAAATTAAAACTCAATTTTTCCTCTTTCAAATCTTGATTGATAATTAGTTTCATGCGAGTGTTGCTTCATTCACTCAGAGCGCAATAAATTTGAAGGCGAGGAACCAATTTCGATACTCATTGCTTTGATGAGTATCTTAAACTCATCAAATCTAGACCGTCTATATCTGATTTGAGCAGTTCAAATTAAAATTTTTAATTAATTATTTTAAATACAAAAAATAATTTTTTGAAAAAAAGATAGTTAAGAGATTATCTTTGTTTTAGATTTTATTCATATCAAAATAATTATTTTAAATAAATAAAAATAAAAAAGAAATCAAATCCTGACCACCCAAATGAGATATAGACGATCCAGATTTGATGTTTAAGGTGCTCATCAAAGCAATGAGTATTGAAACTATTTCTCTTAAGAGGATGTGATCTCTCCTTGATATTTGAGGATCTCCTGGGTCCCAATGCATATGTGAGTAATTAACATGTATCTATGTGCGTATATTTGTATATATGTGTGTATATATGTCTATATATATATTTGTAATCAACATCATAATCATCCTCATCATCCTGCGCAATGTAGGTAGGCTGCTTTTTATTATAGTTGAAATCCCACGTTTAATTTTCAAATCCAACAAATTTCAACCAAAGTCAATGAAAAGAGTGACAGTCACATTGGGCACACACATGCGTCGTCATATGTCCATCTTTCTTCTAAAATCCGTCATCATCGTCATCATCATTTATATTACTAAAGCACCACACACACACACACACATAATTTTACTTTATCATAAGTCAACGAAAAACCTCGGCAATCGCATATACAAAATTTAATTAGAAAACTATATCCTTTTATATATGTTAAAAAAACATGTTTTAACTTGTCATGATCTTACATTAAAAAAATTAAAAAATCATGAGGATGATTTTTTTCTGTCAATTGGAAGACAATTAAGCGTTGTGAAAAGTAAAGTTCAAAATCATATCAGAGTTGATATAGAGATGTATAAAAT